GGAGTTGCCCATGGCATTTGCGGTGGCTAGTAGGTTGGGGGATAAGGATAAGTCAGACCCATATCGAAAACGCCACTCCTCGCCTTTTCTCGGGCCAGGACCTTGGCAGGACGAAGTGGTAGATTACTTTGTCAGGTTGGGGCAACAAAAAAAAAATACAAAAAAAAATATTAAGTAGCTCTAGGCAAGTGTTTCAATCATCCGGCTCAAGTTGTAGGAAAGTCCAGGGGTTTATCCAAAGTGGATTAACATCTTTTGTGTGTTTTAACAAGATGCGGAACATTTTATAAACTGACGGCATGGCAGGGCAAGAAATTAAGGGGATATTCCTGGCATTTCAATTAGAAAGGAGAGTCTTGAAATGGATATTAAAATCTAGACATTTTTGATGAAAAATGGTAGAGATTTTTTAAAGAAGGAAAGTTTAATATTAGAGACAAGATTTATAGTCTTTAGATAATAAATCTACAGAGATGGACTATAAATCTAAAGTCTAATGTAGAAACTATCAACTAAATCTGGAACTAACTCTATACTTGCTTATCTCCTTAACAAAATTTACATTTTTATTTAATTTAAAGTTTATAACTTGGGAGCTCAAACCTCTATTCCCCAACTGGCATTCACATGTAAATTTCAAAAGCAATTTTCACAACAAAATTGCGAGAATTGCGAGATTTGCTGACTGCAGGGTCAGGTGAGATTTTTAATCTCAGGGCTTATTTAGTTTTTTGTGGCATATTGCAGGTTGTGTAGGTTGCAGGTTGCAGGTTGCAAGGCAGCATGGTAGCAAGTCCCTTTTGTGGCTCCCACCGATTGTCAAGGGTTTTCCGTGCAATTAGAGGGTGACCCCTCAACTTTGGCCGGATCCCCCGCAACCGGGAGAGAGAAAAAAAAAAAAAAATGTGCTAACAGCACTTTTGACGAATGCAACGAGGTCGTCGTTGAGGTGAGTTGGAGGCCATGGTGGGGTGTACTCTGGTTATCCTGGGCGTATCTACGAGGGCCTCTCGGACTCTGATGGTTTTTTTTTTTTTTTTGTTTCTTGTGCGGGAACATTGTGCAGGATAACAGTGTGGCTCTGGGCCAAGTTAACGATTTTCCGTGCCCGCTTTTTTGTTTTTCAGCTTGTTGTTTGTGCAAATGAAATTTATGTAGAGAGTCCTGAACCCAGATCCTGCCTCCAGCCCCCAGCCCCCAGCTCCTACTCCTGCCATCCTTCAACACAAAAGCCAAAAAGGACTCTGGCGTCGGTCGTCGGGTCGTTGGGCGCCTCTGATTTTGAGTTGTGCAATAAATTTTTATCTGTACATGCGAACCTCCTCGTTCGTCCAGAGTCCGACGGATTGAAGGGGTTCCGTATCCGGGTGCCGCCCAGGGGCACTGTTTGGGGTGTGGGTCCTAAGAAGGACCTGCTGCTGCTGCTGCTTCTGCTGCTGCTGACCATTAAACAACGCTGTCAGGTTTCAATGGGCAGGACCTGCAAAACCTGAAGCGGCCATTACACAATAGAATTTCCTTTTCTCGGTGTCGTAGTAGCCTCTCTTTTTTATTTTAGTGTGCACTTGAAGAAAATACTTTAAAAGAAGTATAAATTATGGTTATAGGACTTGAATAGTTAAGTTTATTTAAGGATATAGTAGTAACTTTCACCAGAACCCATAGGGATGTTATAGAGTTGGTCTTCTTCAAGGCTTAATTAGTACTTACTTCCAAGACCTATCTAGAGTTAAGGAAACCCAGATTCTTAAAGATAATCTCTTCCAAAACCTTATATTTTTTTTCTGAGTGCATTGAGAGTTGCTTGTAGCCCGTTCATTGGCGCTGGTGTTGCCTTTATTGTTATTGGCCAAGTTGTGTTGTGTTGCCGGCCATGTTTTAGCGCTGAGTGCTGAATGACATCTGGGTCACCTGGGGCTGCCAGGATGGTTGGATGGTTGGATCGTCGGCTTGCATACTCGTTTAACTTATTCCAAGCCCATTTCCGAGGCCCACAATGTCCCCTGACCATCGACGAGGACATTCACACTCCTCCTCCTACTGCCGACTGCCGGCTTTTATTTCTTTTATTTTTATTTCCATTTCTTTTGGATGCAATACAGTGCGGATCAGAGCCTTAAGGCGATTGATGGCTCAATGCCGGTGGCGGTCGGACACCGTGGATTACCGTGATTTGTTGTGCTAAGCAATCGATTTTGATTGGCTATTAAGAAAAGGGGGCCAGGTAAATTATCAATTTAAGTTGGCTTATGGGTCAGTGATTGAATATGGAAAGTAAAGCCATAACATATTACTTTTGGGGCTTGGTAGTGCTGGGCAAAAAGCCATTGAAGACCCATTGCTTTAGCATTTAATCGGCCAATAAACAGCCTTAATTAAGTTTACATTTCTGGCCAAATCTTTATGGCTTGTTAATCGCCAGATAGTGGATAGTACACTGCCATAACGCACTGTACTCTGTACAGTGTACTGTCGGTGCAGGCGATAAAGCAATCATTTTAATGGAGTGATTAAATTTTCAACAGGCCAACTCATCGGGCCAAATCGAAGTGAATCGCATTAAGCCAGAACCGGCAGCCGAGAGAGAGATGTTTATCAATTATTCCCCGTTTCCATCTATGAATGGGCTTTTTTTTCTGGTTTTCCCCCTTCGATATTTTTTTATTTGTTTGGCTTGTGGAACTGACAAATCAATCAATATGAAGCGTTATTTATAGATAGAAAATCCCATCAAGCAGGGTGGCTCATAAACAATTGAATTGCATTTGCCAACCGAAAGTAAAAAAGAATTTTAACCCAATTTGAAGCCCAAAAAGAATTTTTTTGTTGTTGATGTAACTACATATAACCATGTTGCCCTGTATCTTTGTATCTTTGTATCTGTATCTGTGAGGTTTCTGCCTGCTGCCTGGCACGAAATCGTCCGCTCATTTCGCTTTATTTCATTTCATTTCTGACCTGCCCGGTTCTTTTCTGGTATTCTGGGATATATGGGGCCCCCAACTATTATTAGCGGCACGCTCGACATGCAAACATATAATGGATTTGTATATATATATATATATCTATGTATGTCTGTTTGTATCTTAATATACATATATGTATGTGTGCAGTGTCTGTATAGTTTCAAGTCAAGTCAGTTAGAGCTCATTGCTCTGCAGGTGTTCAAATTTTCACATTTTCAGTCTGGCTCCCAAGCCCCTTTCGGAATGTCCTTTTTAACCCAAACATTTACCCCAAAACTATGACACTGTAAAAAAAAAGGAGGTCTTAATAAAATATAAGAATAAACTTTGAAAGTTTAAGAATTTTTTTAAAAAAGTACCGGGTATATAATTTATAGAAATACTTCAATTACTTTCTATTTCCATTATTTCTCTCTATTTCAAAGCCTCTATGTTTTCTTTCTGTGTACCCCCCTTGGTAGTTTATGAACCTCTGCATAACTTTCTCTGCATAATTTAAAATTCTCGCCTTGTATTTATAGCTAAATTATTGATTTTTATTTTGTAACATTTTGGAAAGTTGTTTAAAATTTTCCCAACACGGTACAGAATAGGTGGACTCTCCATTCACTCCCTCCAACTTGCGGTCAACGAGCTTTTCCCACTTAGCCGCTTTTCCTCGTGCCGGCCACATGTACGTATGTGCCACATGTGGCAGCCACGCTGGCTGACTTGGAAGCTTTTGTGGCTTATCAGTTCTTAGTCACTGGCCACTGGCCACCGACCACTCGGTTGGCCGCTTGAATAGTTTTCCTTTCTTCCGAAAGCTTTGTCACAGCTTTCCGAACCCGTCTGGGTTTTCCTTTTATTTTCCAATTTTCTTTATGGCTTTCCTAAGCCTTTTGTTCCCCGAAGAAACAAGTTCTTCTCCGATTTTCTTTCGATTTCAAGATGCCAATATGTTTCTTTATTTTATTATTTCATACTTGTGGTTTTTCTCCTTTCACTTTAAGACGCAGTTTTCTTCGTTTTTCCCGCGCGCTTCATGAAAATTGTACCTCTGAGGAAGGTTGTTTTTCTTGCAGTTTCCCTCCGGCGCTGTAGTTTAAAAAATTAAATGAGCTAGAAGCGTTTATTTCCATTTAATGTAATCACGTTTTATTGTGGCTCTCATTTTTTTTTTCCTCGCCACCAAATGTTTTCCCCCATTTTGTAAAGCTTAAGGCATTTATGACGTTCATCGCTCATACGCCGTGTGGGCTGTGCCCTTATATTTTATTAACGAGCTACTGGCGCTGTTTTGTTTCGCCAACAAATATGAAAACACTCCGTGAATTCAGAATGCCACGAATAATTCATGCAGTGTACATTAAAATGGTTTTCAGGGCCTGCGCCTCACTTTCAGGCACAATCGCAATATAAAGAGTTTAAAAATATCTATACTGCAATTCAGTGGCGAACTAGTTTAAGGTATAGTCACTTTATGGTTTCCTTTTTAGCCACAAACTATAGACTTATTACAAAAGTATTAAATGTAGAAATAATTTAAGGCATTGGTCTTAAGAATCGGATGGGTATTGGCGAAGATATAGTGGGAATATTTTCATAACTCCACTTTTTGAAGGGGACCCTCTAGAAAAATTTAAAAAAATGGATCGAAAATTTTGTTACCATATTTTGATGCAGATTTTCGGAGAATCCACGATCCACGAGTCTTTTAAGGTACTCCTCTTAACAATCGGATCAGAATTGGCCAAGATATGGGCTCCCCAATAGGTCAAATATTCATAATTCCGGATTTTGACACTTTTTGAAGGGGACCCCCTAGAAAAATTTGAAAAAAATGGATCGAAAATGTTTTTCCCATATTTTGATGCAGATTTTCGGAGAATCGACCCACGAGTCTTTTAAGGTACTCCGCTGAAGAATCGGATCAGAGTTGGAAAAGATATGGCCAAGCATCTTCTCAAAAGAAAGAGTTCTTTTCATGGTGGCCTTCGTCACCTATTTCTTTCATAAATTTTACTAATTTTCCTTCCTTGGTTTTTGTTTCAGATGTCAATTCAGAAGCTCAACGACGCCTCCAACTCCGGGTACGTGAGCTCCGAGGAGACGGACTCGCTGCTGGTGAGCAATCCCAATCCCGGCAAGGGCGGACCCCGGACTGCACTGCTCCGGCAGGTGAAGAGCAGCTCGGCGAATGGACCCACCGCCTCCTCCTCGATGGGCTCCGTGTCCGTATCGGTGTCCTGCTCCGGCTCGGCCTCCGGCTCCGGATCGGGGGGCGTGGCCAGCAAGCCGACACTGATGCGACAGGACCGCACTTCCACTTACCTGACCAGCCCGCAGCAGTCGCAATCGCACCAGACGCCCGGCGGCAGGATGGGGTCCGAGGAGAGCATGCGGCATCCGCAGGACGAGGACGTGGAGCAGGGACTGATACGGAACAGCATAGTGCCTGACATCGAAGTACACCAAGAAGAGGACCAAGAGCACAGCCACGGTCAGGGCGGGGGTCACGGCCAGCACCAGCACCAGACCCAGTCCCAGACCCAGGCCCAGGCTCAAACCCAAAATCAGACTCAGACGCATAGTCAGACCAACAATACGAATACGAATACAAATCCGGATACAATGAATCCATCGACCAAGCAACCGACCATATCAATTATGAATTTAAGTTTGAAGCCCGGAGACATGGCCGGTGGCCACGGCTCCTCGCACAGTCATCCGAATCTGGGGACGTCCTCGTACCAGAATCTGGCCTCCAGCATACCACCCAGCGCGCCGAGTCGGTGCCGGGCGTGCCGGAACTGCAGCCGCCGGGCTTCCACAACGCCCCTCTCCACGACGATCGGTATCGATCGGTCGGCGTCGCGGGACAGCGTGAAAAGTGCCTTCCAGCAGGGCAACCTCTCCAACTCCATGGCCATTTGTATCTCCAACACGGCGCTGCAGCAGCAGCAACAGCAACAGCAGCAGCACCAGTATCAGCTGCAGCCGCACCAGTACCAGCAGCAGCAACACCAGCAGCACTACCTGCAACAGCAGCACTTGCAACAGCAACAGGTGCCGCCCGTTCTGATCACCTCATCGCCGACGAACGGCTCTCGGATAATACGGCAGAGCTCCCAGCCGGAATCGAGCAGCACGGCCATCTGTTGCGGTCCCCACTCCGCCTACGGCTCCTCCCACTCGCACACCGTTCCGAACGTCTCGCTGAAGCAGCTCCGGGAGAGCACTACGGACGGAATAGCCGGGATTGCGGCCGACTCCCTGAGGATCAATGGCGGAATGCGACCCTTCAAACAGGTGAGTTATAAAGCCCTATTTAGAGGTATATACTATAGGAATGGAATCCAATTTCAAGACCTTTCAAGACCCGGAATATTAAGTATTACCTTTCTATTCGAGAATCGCCTTTGATAAATGGAAGCTTTTTCTTAACTCCGAATCAAAAGCGATTATCGTATATATTTCCCCCCCCCAAAAAAGTATAAAACCCCCCCCTCTCTTTTGTACATAAAACATGTACATAGTCATCCCATAAGTGTTCCAAGGGACCTCTTTCAAAAAACGAGTCCTTCTTTGTAACCTTAGACCTCAGTGTGTACACCGACCTTTATGTATCACCTACTATGTATACCGAAACAAGCATAAATACAATATTTATATAACATATATATACCTAAGTATATACCATATATATTCCATAAAACCAAAACCCGTATCATTCGATGTCCTGTAGCCACAATCGCACATTGGATGTTTTTGTAGCTCGAAATATTCATCAAAGAACTCGTCGGGATTTGAATATTTAAGAAGGGTGTTTCATTAATATTAATTGTATATTTTTTAAAATAAATATTTTTCAAATAAGAAAGCAAATATTAATTTTAAATTCTTGTAAAATATGAATTCTAGTAGAAGAAAGTAAAAAGTAACTTTTTTCGAAAGATATTATAAAAAAAGGTCTTACAAATTTTAGTAAAATATATATAAATATCTTAATTATTTGGCAAAAATAATATATTAAATATAACAGATTTTTTAACAAATTTTTATAATATTTTATTAAAAAACTAATATATAAAGTAAAGAAATCATAGCCTTTTGTTTTTCCCCAAAAGTCTAACATTTCTTATAATAGGACTCACATTCCTCATTTTTTTTTAAACCATCATTGGCCATAATTCATTTTAGCCATAAACTTGCCGCAATTGCCTCTTGACCTTATTCTTGTTTTGGTTCTGTTTTAATGCTCAGTTCGGATTTCTTTATTTATTTCATAGATGTTTTCTAATAATCATAAAATAGCTTGGGATCCTCTATTTATTTGCTTACATTTCATGCCTTGTGTTGTTGTAAATGTTTTCTTTTAGTCAATGTTGTTGTTGTTGATTTTATTAAATTTATTTCGAGCCAAGTTGCCATCCAGTCCATTTAACGTTTTTCGCGGGCTAAAATCCAATTAGTGAAAATCAATATTGCTCATACGCCGCGTTGGCTCAACAATTATTTTGTTCATTTGTTGTTCGCTTGCCACCTTCAATTCCTCGCTTGTTATTTCAATTCATTTAATTTTTCTGTTTTTTTTGTTGTTGTTGGGGTTTTAGGCATAATTAAAAATTTTTGTTTACACGCGATTTGATCGCGAGGTGGAAAAAGCAAAAAAAAAAAGCAACGCGGCAAGGGAAATGAAACTTAGTAGGTGGCCCAAAAAAAAGAAGCATTTTCCAAAAAAAAAAATAGAAAAGCAAAGACGATGGAGAGGAAAAGAAAAATTAGGTTGGAAAATAGGAAAAATGTAATTAGGCAATTTTCTTCTTTTTTTTTTTTGTAGACTTTGGCAAATTGATTATTCATGTGGCAATCGAAGTTCGGAAATTCCTAGACTCTATATAGCCATATCTTTCATCTCTTGCCCCTGCCTGAAAATAATTATAATTAATATCAATTTGGGCCCGAATGTCTGGCCTTTTCCGCCATAAATATCTTCCCCTACGTAGGTGTATATATCTCAATATAGGATAGGAAGAAAACAACAAAAAAAATAGAATATAATATCGCTTTCTCCGGACTGGAAGTAGTGACCTTACCATGATTGATGAATGTTTTCACTCTTTGACATTTGCCGTCGCGTTTTTCTTCAATTTTTTTCTTTTTTTTTTTGTACGTTATGCCCCACGGCCCCGCCCATTTTCTCAGTTTTTTATAGATAATTGCGTTGGGCTGTCTGTCGGTCCGACACTTGGGGTTATAGTCCGGGACCCGGGGGGATATTGTATGCCATGAAAACATTTGGGGAAGCTTTGGGCCACAAAACGAAAAGCTTTTTGGCTTTGTTAGGATTTTTTGAAAACTAACGGTAAAGCTAGTGGCTCAGTGGGAAGGAGATAGTAGCAAGTAGTACACTGTGAAAAGTTTATAAGCGAAATAAAATTACTTTTAAGAGAAAACCTTGAATTAAGCTTCTTATTATTATATATTATTATTGTTTTAAATAAAAATTTTAAATTTGAGAAATTTCGCACAGTGTAATTAACAGTTTCTTTAGCATTTCTCATGCAAATAGCCAAAAGCTTTCAAGCCACATTTAACTGTAATAAAAAAGGAGACAAATTTATATGCAATTTACCGAAAAGCTTTGGCATTTCAACTTACAGGAGCTTTCCTCGTGGGGGGATGGTGGCGCCAAAGGGTGAAAATGCAAAAGCTTTAACGTATTTCAAGTTTTTCAATTGTCTTTGGTTTTTCCTTCTCGTGTTTTAGTTTTTGTTGAAAAACTATGATTTTTTTAAAAGAAAAATAATGAAAAGCTTTTTTCTTTTAAATTATGCAAAAGGCATAGATTTTGAAATCCAGGAGTCAAACCCGAAACCCCTCATTATATTTGAACTTTTCATAATTCAACAATTAGTAGAGGAACATGTAACTTTCATAACTTCATTTATATTTAATAAATAGACCTTATGTAGTTGCGATTGTGTCTTTGATAATAACCTATATATCTTTCCATAATAACCGTATTTGGGGAACAGTGTGTTTTGAAAAGATTACTTGGAAAATAAGCTTATTTTTAATTATCTAAAATTTCTCTATTCAAAACACACTGCATCCTCCAATCTTGAAGTCGATCTATATCTAATTTTCATAGATGTACAACTATATGTATTATCGCTGCTATCCATCTGACTTTCCAACGATCCTATGTCTCTTCCCCTTTGAAAACTCACCCAATAGCTTAGCAACTAACTAATCCTCTGACTACAAAACTACTGATCTTAACTAACTATCTGATTATCTGATCTCTGTACTAATCGCTATCGCATCAACTCTCGCAATTTTCTCCAGGGCGTTCTTCTAATGCCTCGCACCTTGTCCGAAAGCCGAAAGTTGCGCCTTCGAAGGGCTTTTACCGAGGCCACTAACGAAACGCTCCAATGCTCCAAAATGGTATTTAGTATTTAAATTCAAATTGCAAAAAAAAAAAAACCACGTTAATACCAAAACCAGAAACAAAAAAACCCAACAACTCCCCAAAAAATGTATATTTTTTTGGTTTTTTTAAGTGTACATAAATATATTTTAGAATGAAACAAAAAACAAATACCAAGCTTGTAGTTCCAAAAAAAAAAAACAAACAAAAAAACCAAATTAAAATTTCAATGGCACCCCCGCCCCCTAAAGCGGTCAAGTAGTTTTGTTTTTAATCCAAAAAAAATATATATAAAAAATAATAATTATAATGCTAAAATGCTAAGTGCTCGAAAAAAAATGGGCATTCGTTTCGTTACATTTTTTTCCTAGTTCGCACTGCGTCTATGTCCTTTTTTTTACCAAAAAAAAAACAACTCCCTTAGAAAGCTCACCAAAAAAACCAACAATTTTTAACAAAAAGAAAAATACCCAAAACAGAAACTTTGGAATGCTCTACAAAAATGTCGAGCATTTATTTTTGGCCGCTTGTAGCTCGAGTTTTGAACTTCCGCATCCGCATCCGCATCCCCTACTTCCACATCCGCATCCCCCCGCCCCCCAAAAAAAGACATGCTTCTGAATGTTTCGAAAGTAGACTGTTGTAGACTCGTAGTTCCGTAGTTTATATATAAATAATATATAAAATATATCAACATTAATTAGTTTATGTGGAAAACATTAAGCGGTGATTTATCGCAGCAGGTAAGATGTAGAAGAAAATGTATTCCCCCCCTATTCTTTGCACTGGTTTTGATATTGTTTGTTTTGCACTGAAAACAAAATGTTTATGGTAATAATATTTATGCCATTACCAAAAATAATAATCATATACTACCTGAAAGGGTATAGAAATATAAGTATTATAAATATTTTGACTAAGATTTATAAAGTATGAGGGGGACTTTGAAGAAATCCTGAGAAAGGACTCTTAGAAGTATAATATATATTATCTCTCAAGTGTTAATATAGGGTATTTCTCTATTCGGTACTCTTGGTGGTTTCTTTCTTCCCAACAATTAAGTGGAAAGCAGGAAGCATTTAATATTTCCCCGGTAATAGCTGCACAATTTTCATTTCCATGACGTCGATGTGATCAGGTGTTCTCACCATTTTCCGCTCGCTCGCTCTCTCTCTTTATTTGGGGGGGCTGTAGGCTTGCGCTCTCTCTTTGGGTAGCATCCACCTGCTGCCGTTTGTTTTTCACTTGGATTCCACATTCCACTCGATCCACGCGATCCAGACGAGCAGCGACGCGTGCTGAAGGAAGTTTTCTTTCAATTATAGGGTATTTGAGGGTATGATGGGTTATATGATAATTAATATTAAAAAAAATTGATAAATCTTAGTAGTGTATGGTATTTTACACTTTCTAGATTAAGCTAGAGGTCATTAATTAAATTACAGGGTATCTCTTATTCGTTTCACCTTTTCTACCTTTTTGTCTAGTTTTTTCTTCTTGTTTCCGTTGAATTGGCGGAACCAGATAGAAATAAATGCAAAAACAACAACATAAGGCAAATAACGTAGAGCCAGGAGCCCACCAGATTGGAATATAAATAAAATTTTCGGTGTGCCGGCTGCCTCTGTCGTCGAAAGGGATATAGCTCTCGATCTACACACCACCTATATAGAATCTTTAAAAATCTATTAAGATCTTTTGCCATACGCTCTCCGTTCTCCGTTCACCGCTCTCCCTTCCATCTTGTCCAAATCGCTCTCTCACTCTCTCTCTTGGTAGACCGTTTACCGTTCTTTTTTGGAGATCGCATAATGGCAACGGCGAACGGTTTGTGGAAATGCTGAATTGTGTCTGCTTCCCGTTATCGTCTGGCGTTCCCATTCAGTTCTGTTTACATTTTGGACAATTACGCAGCCGAAAGTCCGAAAGGCCCAAAATAATCCCTCTACAACAAATACTACAACAAATTTCCGAATCCGAATCCGCATCCAAATTCACATCAAAATCAAAATCCAATCAAAACCCATTGGTTTTTCGTCTGCATCGGTTCGTCGTGCAAAAGGAAATCCTCATTCTATATTTCTTTAATAATTTATTCATTTTTATTTTTTTTCGTGTGTTTCGAGTTTCTGTGCCACAAAACACGCGTGTGAAAATTATTAAAAAATCTGCCGAAAGCACATTTCTTTCAATTGTTTCCCACAATGCTGAAATATTTCTATGAATTTCTAGCCAGTGACCCTTTTGAAATAAAGTGATAAAAATTAAACGTTACAAGTGCCTGAAAAGTAGAGATCAAGGATTCTAGTGTTTTTTTTTTTTTTGGGATCCTTCGAGATCTTTTAATACGTGGGAGCTGTGGAGCATGTCGCCGGCCTCCTGCATGGAGAACGATTGCAATCAGGGCGCTCTCTACCAGAAATGCCTTTCTCCGGACAGTGCCACACTTGCCACCCCCTTGCCGCCGCCACCCGTTGCGGCCACGCCCCCACAGATAATGTCACCGTTACCGGCGGTCTTCTCGACGTCATCAACACCATCGGGCAGCGCCACCAACTCCCCCTCCCATTCGCCAACTCCCTCGCCGTCGGCCAGTGTTTCGCAATCGCCGTCCCCGTCGCCCCAGTTGCGGCGAACCCTGACGCCGATGTCGCAGCCGCTGCCGCTGCCGCACCCGGCATCGATGCCAACGCCGCTGTGTGCCGCGGCGGCAATTATGACGCGAACGGGCAGCGTCGGTGGTGGCGCCACCAGTGCCGCTCGCAGAAACTCCCTTTGGCTGGAGACGCTGCGCAACACACGCAAGCTGTCCTACGCCAACGAACGGCCCATTCTGGTAAGCCAACACTGAGAGAAATTTCTAAAAAAAAAACGCATTTTATACGCATTTTTTTAAAAAAGGGGCCTACATGGCGTATGAGTAATATTTAAGACCGATGTTACGTATACGCCATGTAAAACAAATTTTAGGCCAAGCCTTTAAATCAAAGGCTTAAATCATTATGGTTTTATTTGAACTAATTAAATTATTTATACTAATCAAAATCTATAACTAATCAAAAATGCGGCCTATGGGGCGTATGAGTGATATTTAGATCAACAAATCACGTATACGCCTAGTATGAAAGAAGCATTCAACTCTTTTCATCGGAAACTTGAAAGAAAATACATTGTATGAACCATAAAGTGAAACTAATGAATGACGAATTAAATTTGGGAATTTCTATATTTCTTCGACGTTTTTTTTGCCCTCATATTCATGCATATATGTATGTATTTTTTTCGCCCAGTGCCATTGGAAAACTTATGACGTATCTAGCTGCTTGGCTCCCCATTTCATGACCATTTATATTCGCCATTTCGCTGGCGTCTTCCACGTGTCCGCCTGCCTTAGAGTCCAACTATAAAAATAAATAAATCGCGCGAGTTGTGGCCCTCTCTTTCGCGCCCCATTGTCTTGGCTGTGGTCCTGTCTCTTTCTCTTCTGTTGCCCCCTCTCTTTCTGTCTCTCTTGAAGTTATTTTCAACGAAAGCATCTGCAGAAAACAAAAACAAATCCCAAACACACGATGGAGCTCTTGGGGAAAATGTTGGGTAACGAAAGTTCTGTACCCTGCAAAAAGTTGCGAAAACTTTTTCGTTGCAAAAGTTTTATCGTGGCTTTGACTTTAAGAAAGAACGAAATAAAATTATTTACTGCCACTTACTTGGCACAATACAATTATATTTCTGAAGGGAATTAGTTGTACAAATTGAATTTCCTAAAATAAATATTTAACGAAAGCACCCCATGTGATGTATGTCCAGGATATAAATCAATTCATAAGAGGGAGGGGACTATCACAGCAATAACACAAAACAAATGTGGGAAATCTATATCTGAATTATAGCCAAACCCCAAACACAAAAGACAATAGACAGACAAGGGGGAAGATAAAGGAGGAGATCTTTAGGTTTTTCATCAGATTCCGAATCAAAATCGAAATCAGAAACGTAATTGTAATCACAGACCGAAACAAACAGAAAATACCCATAAAGTTCAGCCAAGTGTTTGGATCGTATCGCCCGATCCGTTTGTGTTTTGTGTATCTAGCTTTGATATATTGTTTACAAGGAAAAACAATTTCGATACAATTGCGATCACCCGATCATCATCATCATCATTATCATTATCATTATCATTATTATTGTTGTGGACTGAAATGGAAATCGATGGAAAATAAAGCCATTTCTTACGGTGTAAACCGTGGGGGCCTTGATTCCGGATGAAGATGTTCTTCTGGCAATTTATGTTTCCAATAGTTCGGTGTTCTTTTCATCGATGTTGTCGGATTGGATCGTGTTTATTGTACAATATAAAGATACGTATATATAAACTGGTTACATCAGCGATATATAGTTCTTTGATATATGACCTTGCCGATTGAGGAGGCAATTCCGGCGTTTAAACAATGCCATCGCCATAGCGTAATTAATGGCATATGAGCAATGAAAGAAACAGGCCCCGAAAGACCCCAAATCGGGGACCTGCGGACATGAATTATCGATGCAGAGAGTATGGTACTTACTTACTTATATGGCATGTCTATGGGTATGAGGATACTATGTAAACATTGTGTGTGTGTCTTTGTTTCCGTATGTGCGTGCATATTTAGATGATGATAAATATTATATATACTCCGTATGCACTCGGCCAGTCCCAATGGGTATTACGGGGTGTCATCTAAAATATTTAAGGCATTTGTTCAGCACACTTTCCAATAGCCCGGTCTCACTTCTCCAACGGCTTCGACTTCTCAAAACCCAACACATATGTCTGCATTTCGAGGACTTTCAATCGACCAAGTCAACTGTCAGGAGTTAAAAGGTTTGGGGTTGTATTCCTCTTTTTGTTTTCATTGTTGTTGTTGTTGTCAGAGTCTTGTTGGGGTTCAGAGCCAGGTGGCCTCAATAGTCCAATAACTTATTGCCTCGGCATTATGCGGCGAAAAATAGTCGAGCGAACTTTTTAAAATTT